GTATTTCCCCCGGTTTGTTTCCTTTGAAATACAACATACTTTAGTGGTGCTTAAAAGTGTTGCTTTGTCATCACATCTAATTTACTAGCCCCTAAGGGACTGATCATCAGCCTGGTACCATGCAGGTTCTCCTTGTAGGACAGTAATGTCAAAATCCTTACATTTCTTCTCCCTTTTCTCTTCCTTCTCCACTTTCCCTTCATCATTCATGGCTGAATTGAGTTTATTTGGGTGGGATTTCAGCATCCGACTTGTTGTGCTTTACCCAGCTGCCCTCCCCACGCCCCCAGCGAGGCGTTCGGATCCTCATTAGTGTAATACGCCGTTTGCTAAGGCAAATGTCATAACGAATCCTGACTTAGAAATTTCTCAAGAGTTCATTGAAAGAGAGTTTATCTTTCAGTGGTGACCTTTCTTGTTGAAGGCGGATTAATGTATGAGCAGGATCTGTGTTAACATGGCAGTTTGCAGGAGAAGGCACTTGATAAGCGAGCTCCAGCCAGCTCCGTCCCTGCTCCCAGCAGAGCATTTCGAAGCACCGAGCCTCCTGCCTCTGCGTGAACCTGGGCATGTCAGGCTCCAGCTCTCGGCTCCTTGGCATAAATCACTTGTTGTCTGAACGTTGCATTGAGAAGCATCTTACACGCATGTTAAATGTGGATAAAGATGGCTCTGCTAAAGGACGCCAAGATGAGTTAGTAATAAAATAGCCTTGCCCGTTGAAGCACTGTCTTGAGGTTATGGATGCATTTTAAAATTCTCTCCATATTTATTTTAGCAGAAAGACTTTCAGTAGATTCTCCTTTGAGGGCACTGAGCTCGGGCAGAGGAGAGGGCGCAGCTCACTGGCTCGGAGCCTTTTCCATAAGAAAATACCACAGCATATTCAAAGTGAAGCAAACACTGCATTAAACTTCCGTGTTCCCATCACTGCCATATCTCTTGGCTGCCACCTCTTGATCTCCACAGACATAGGAAGGAGCTCCTGTAAGCCAGAGAATGGGGCATAGTTGGGGCTGAAGAAGATAAAAGTTGGTTAGTTGTGACTTACAGACACATCTAATCTTTTCCACATTTCTCCTGACCTTGATCTATCACAGGGCTTCCTGGTGACACTTGGGATTGTAAATTATGTGCAGAGGAAACCCTTGAGTCGGAGGCACTTGGCCGCAGTCTCAGAGCTGTGAAAATGTCTGGTGCAGGATGGTCTCCTGTGCAACTGGTTGGTAAATTGGACCTGAACCTTTCAGAGCATGTTGGAAATAAGCACTTTGACTACCAGGACTTCCTGAGTGCTGGCAGTCCTTGGAATGGGAGGAGATGGCCCTGCCAACCCCCAGGCAATGCTGAATCGGTCAGCCAGGTCCTCCTGGCAAATCAAAGTCAGGAGATACTTGGTCAGCTCGGCCAGTACCTCTGCTGGGACCAGGCAACAGGTCGGGCTTTGCTCCTGGTCTCCACTGACTGGCATCAAGACATGGTTAGTGGTTCCCTCCCCTCTCCTGGGACAGCATAATCCCCTGCCGGTTTTTCAGCAACGTGCTTCCGAACTTCCACCCTTAATTATTTCCCATTCTGACCGCAGGATGTCGGTGGCTGGGGGAAAGTCTCAGATTCCTTCCAGCCTGCAAGGCATTAATCTTAGTGCTCTGTGATTCCTGCAGCTCACAGCAGCCGTGGACAGCTTCTGCTTCCTCCGGTGACTGAGCTGACAGTGGGAACTTTGTCATAAAGATACATGTCTCCAAGGAGTCTTAATTTTTCTTTGAGGACTGAAACAGTATCCAGAGTCTGGAGGATTTTGGGGGTTTTCTTTCTACTTCATTTTAATCTCAGATTATTCCAGGTATTTGTTTCCGGGTATTTCTTACCAGAACGCATCACATTTTGCATGTTGGGAAAGTCATTCAAGGTCCCTCTGCTGTTGTTTCAAAGCGATGGTAACAGTGCCTCTGGCTCCAGGTGAGCTGATGTGCAGCTATTGTAGGAAGACAAATATTTAGCAACTCACCATGGCTGAGTGAATTGTTAAAATACGACTTTCTGAGGAGTGCTTAGCCTCCTAGTAATTATGAGAGCTTTTCTCTTTCATTTATTGGGTCTGGAGCAAAGCGTCATCTCTGTAAAAGCTTCCAGCCCTTTCTGTACAGTTTTCCAGGCAGCTGTTCAGCAGGCGGTGCGGAGCGGTGCCGGGGCATCCCCAGCCTCCGCGCAGCAGTTCCCGGGCGATGGAGCGGTGGGCATGCTTTTGGCATGCCCGTTTTTCCGCAGGCACTCCTGTGAGCAGTGTGGAGTATTCAACTGATGTTCAGGGGGTAGAAAATTACCTTTTCCTTACATTACATACCCGCAATCAGAAGGACATTTGAATAACCAGTTGCCAGCTCTTTCTGCATGTATGAAAGACGGTGTTTCCCGTCTTCTTAGAGATGTAAATGACAGTGGCCGGGGTGGGATGTTTAGGGGGACAGAGCGTCTCTCCACGGCTCCTCGGTCTCCGTTTGCTGTTCTCTTTGCAAGGTTTCAGGACACGGCAAAGCACGTCCCCTTGTCACCTGTGCACGGTTCTGTGGTTGCGGGTTAATGACGCAGAACTCCCTCCAGATGCCACGGTGTCTGTCTGTCTGTCCTGTTAGCCGCGGCATCACCACGGCTCATCAGCACGTGGCATCTGCTGCTCCTCCCCGCGGTGGATGCAGTGATGGGTGGCTCTGGGCATCGTGTGGGCAGTTGCTTGGGGCCGAGGCTAGTCCCTGCTCCTGGCCCTGAGGTGGTGGCGGTGCGATGGGCTTTCCTGGCGCTGCCACGGGGGTTCGCAGGAGTATTTTACTAACAGGATCCCCCTTGCCTTGCTGCGTCCCTCTGCCCTGCTCCTGCCTTTGCTCAGACAGGCCAACTGGGTTTTCTGTGTGACTTGGCAGTAAAACTCACATCCATTTTATTGAACCAGAAGGAAGAAAAGGGGAAAAAAGTGCTAGCTTATACTAATAAAGGGCTTTTGAACATCTCAGCTGGATATTTTTCTTCATGAGTGAGAAGGCCAAATGTTATCCTGACATTTAATCTTTAATAACAAAAAAAGGCGCTTTGTTTGCCAGTGAATTCCAAAATCTGTTTACTCACTCATGCCTTATTTCTTTTAACTTGCTAGCTCAGATGTCATACTTACTTTCCCCTGCTACCAGTTCAGAGCTGCATTAAATCATTTATTTTGTAAAATTTACTTTCCTGTCACTGCAGAGCCGACAGCTGCCGGGTTGACTTTTTTTAACTAGTTAATTAACTCATTGGAAAAATGGGGACCCCTTGGGAGGGCGGTGCAGGGGGAAGGGGCCAGGGCAAGAGAGGTGGTGGCCCAGCAGCGAACCCAGGCTGAGCCCACCGCAGCCCACGTAAGGTGCTGCCGAAGCCTTCCCTTGGGCTGCCCTTGTCGGGAGAGCGGGGCTTTCTCCCGGGCTGGTTTCCATCCCCAGTAAAACCCTGCAGTCGGTCAGCGCGGCTCTGACCTGCGGGCTAGCGGCAGAGGGTTATTGCAGGCTATCAAACTTTATAAACCCTTTTTAGTGCTTAATGAAGATACGCGGGACATTGCAGCCAGAGGAAAAGGCTGAAGAAATCTTGGTGCAGCCTCGAATGTGGAGGTGATGGGATCTGCCGCGGGTCGGGTGCCTGGTTGTACCGGTACCTGCACAGCCCGGCTGGGGCTCCCGGCTGGGTGCCTCCCAGGGAAGGCCGCGGTGTTCGTCACCGCCGCTGGACTTGTCCTGTCCCCAGGCGTGTTTGCAACAGCGTGCTCAGCCTGAGTAAGCGGGAGGCCCAAGGCCAGCCGTTAGCCATTTGCAGTGTGTGTCTCGGCGCTGCCGGTACCTGCACGCGGCGGGGATGCGGTGAGACACTAGTTGGGCATCACGGTGTGGGCAGGCAAGTCTCCGTGTGCTCCCGAAGGACCTTGGAAGTACCGCTCAGGTGTAGCTCCAGCTTCCCGCAAGCCATTTCCATCTAGCTCCTCCTAGTCTGCTAACTTTTCTTTTGCATTGAAACCTCTTACTCATAAATTTTACATCCAAGAGCAACTGTGAGAAATGCCAGAATCCTGATCATCTAACATGCTTTAATGTCTAAATTTATTCTTTAGTACCATTCTTATTTACATTGTTTTTCTGTCTCAAAAAAAATATAAAGGAAGGAAAAAAATAAAATTTTCTTTTACTTCCACATTAGGAGGTGAGTTGTCATACACCCTCTGGAATTCTTTTTTGCTTTTGATCTTTATTTATTTGTTTAATTTTGGTTGATGTCCCAAGCATGGTTTTGGAGACGAAGGTAGGTCTTCGCTCTCCAAATCAAAAGGAAAAAAAATAAATAAAACAACACTCTCCTTGGTCATATTAAAAAAAAAAAATTCCAAACTGTTCCATTCCATACCATTTAAAGAAAAAAAAAAATCAACTATTGAACTATTTCTACAGCTTACTGATTTAAAAGGGCGGGTTTTTTTTCAAAAGTATCGAATGGATCCAAAAACGATTTTACTAGACGCGATTGAAGTTATTTGCTGTCAACATTTTAATATCAATATTACCACAATGTGTAGTCTCAAACTAGTTCCTTTGTAGTTTGCATGGGATGTGAATGCTGTCTCGGCGTGCCCAGACCTAGAGAACTTGTTACTACTGCATGAGCATCAAGTCAGATGTTGAAAAATATCTATTATATTTTGTGATAATTTGGTGAAAATGAGCACCTCCAGTCTCTGGTTGCAGTAGTGTGTTGAATGATTGTTCTTTTTTTTTTATATATATATCCATATCTATATTTTTGGAGCTCTAAGCTTCGTAGTAGTACGGGCTGACTCTTATCCAGTACTTGCTCTCCTATCGCATGGCCTTGGTTAAGTGTTAGAAGTTGGGCCTAGGCTGTTTATTCTGGTGTTTGGCTTTGTAATAACGGTGCATGCCCGGCGTCTGGCCTCATACCCAGCTTTATTCTCTGCACACCAGTCTTGAATAGCTACAGTGCTCAACCGAATTTTGGCGCACCCGCTTCCCCGGCAGGCTCCAACCCAGCCCGACCCGGAGGCTTCCCCGGGGCCAACAGCCCAGGG